TCTTGACTCTTAGTGTTTTATAAGCAGTGCAACTACTGTAGAGGGTTGCACTATGAAAGAAAATATATTATTAATGTATAAACATAGTTTTGTATACATTCTCTGTATACCTAATGCTGATAAAGTTTGTCTAAGTCTTAGTCTAGTCTAATTCCGTGATTTTACCTTCCACTTTGTATTAATCTTATTTTTTCTTTTTGTTGTTTTAATAAAAACCTAGTTTTATATGGAAGAAATGAATGTTCAAGTAGGTATTCAAAAAGTATTAGTTTTCAAAAATTCAAATAAAATGTCTTAATATCAGTACTTTTCTGTATAATTTTCAGTGTAATTTTAAAGAACCTTATAACTTTCAGAATCCAAATGATGTATTGACGTGTAGAACCACCTGCTACAGATTCAACCCCACCTGGAAAGAACTTCAGCATAAAAATGACACAAAAAATAAAGACAGCTCTTTTGGTTTCTTATTTAAAAACAAACCAAAAAGAAAACAGGATTTTCTTGATTCTCCTCAAACTTTCACTATTGAAAAAAGGTTAAATGTTGAATCTATTAACAGAAACAAACTACAGCTCTCATATGAGAACTTATCTGAACAACTTGGCCACATTGGCAACAACTAACGCCTTAATAAAATGAATAAACTACAAATATCATCTGCCCAGAGTTTCTCACATTGTTATAATGTCATGCTAATCTTTAAAACAGTGGTGTCCAAATTCATTCCTAAGGGCTGCTATCTGCCATGTTAAAATTGCATTTCAAGAAAGAAAAATAGCAACAGTGGATTACAAAGCTAAGCTGAGCCAAAGGGAACAAGTAACTTGCAGCTTCCTCGAAATGGAGTGGAGTAGACTTTGAAATTTAGTGGAGTGAGTTATATGTCCCCCCCTAAAAAAATTCTCAAGTAAATATATTCCCTAGCACTTTGAGATTTTTGTTAATGAAAAGTGCGGTACAAATTGGATTAATTATTATTATTATTATTATTATTCATAAACGTACTTAAGTACAGCAAGCAAGTAAATGTACTTTGTTACTTTCCACCACTGGATATAACATGATCTGGATTAATTCAGTAATTCATTAGCATCTCTGCATAAAAAGCATTAGAGCTGAAGCTCTGCTTTGTCTGCAGTGATGTAGGCTGGAAGACCCGTTCTTCATGTATGGGGTGCTGCAGCATCATATATTGATGGTCTTTTCTCTGACTAAGTCACATTGGACTTGCTCTTGAAGACTGAGTGTCTGGATTTTATTTGAAGTGTTGTGGGAAAATTTATATCTTTATCTCATCTGTATATTAATATTCATATTTACTCACTATAAAAGTTTTCACTCAGTCTGTTTCTCTCTCAAGGCCACACCATTCCCTGCAGAATGTTGTTTGTAGACCAGACATAGCTTCTTCCCATAACAATCCAGATTCTTTCTCAAGGTTTATTCATAACATGTTACTGTTAAGCAAAGTGTGTGTAATTTGTTATGACTCTGACTGCTTTCGATTGTTGTAACTAGGGGGGAACGAACCCTGCCCAGATCAGAACAGAGCAGAATGCTGTGCCATGATGACTGTTCTCTCTTTGCAAAGATATTAATAAATGTGCCGACTGAGTGAAATCCACCGATCTCCGTTTATTTAACTAGGATGAATAGTTGAATACTTCTTTCCCACGACAATTTGGCGTTGTCAATGCAGGATTCTCTTTGACTGATTTTTTCTGAGGACAGCGATTGTCAGAAGTGTCAGGTACCACCTGGAGGAAGCAGTCTTCCAGCCTCAATACCCCGGTTAGAAGGTTAAGGGAGTGAGGACTTCTGGCATCGAGGTCCCTAGAGGTCAGCAGGAGGATCAAAACAAACCATTTTTTTTTTTGAGACGGTGAGATGAATCTTTTGTCGGCACAGTTTAAATTAAATTTCAAAAACTAAATTACAAAACAACAGGTTGTTTACAGATTTAAAGATAATTAGAAATCAAATACTGGAAAATTTGTTCAAACAAAGTCCTCTTCTTCTCCATTAAAATTATAATCTAGCAAAAAATTAACTAAATTAAAGATTAATAGGTTAATCATTTTAATGCACTAAAATTTGTATAATACTAAAGATTATACATATGAAATAACAGATAATTTTCCTTTTTGGGGAGCAGAAAGGCAGTTCAGGTTTTTGTTCCACCTGTGAACCAAAAGACCTCGCATAGGAACGTGAGGCTCTCTCTAAGGGTGAGAGGAAGGTTGTAGGTGCCACCAGAAGGCATTTAATTTTACTGAGACGTCGGTAATCTAGAGTGGGATCCCCCCCAGTTATCCAGGTCGGCACCAGAGGAATGGTGTGCATATTGGAAACCGGTAAATTACCTGTAGATAATGGGAAAGGTTTTGCAGTTCTACAGTATGGTAGTAGAACAAAAGGCAAGGTTCCAGGGAATTGTCAACTGCCCAAGGAGAAATTTTTGATCAATTGCAAAGAAAATAGGGTTCTTTTAATGTTGCAATAAACAAAAATGTTAAAGATAAGATAAACAAATATCATGAGAAGTTAGAGGCTAAAAGAAGGTAAGGTAAGAAATTTACAGATTTTGAAAAAAAAAAATGAAAAAAAGGGAAAAAGAAAAAAGAAAAAAAACAGTTTAAAATGATGGATGGTTAAAAGGAGAGTTCAAAGAAACTCTCAGCTTCAAAAACAAATGGGTTAAAATAAGAAGTCAAAAAAAGAGTGTTTAAACCTTATACTAAACATATTTACACTGTATTACATATTAAACTTACACTATACTAAGTTATAATAATGAATTTTAATTTCAATGGTGCTTTTAAAGAAACAAAACTCTCTCAATTTTTACAGGAAGTTAATAACTCATAGCTAAAAATAAAAAACTATTAAATTATTACAGAAAAAAAGTAAGTAGGGCATAAAATAAGGTCATATTAAAAGTTTAAAAACTGAACAAACTTAAAATAGAGTAAAATGGAGGAATTAACCTAAAATTAAATAAAGAAAACATACAAAATTAAATAGAGAAAAGTAAGGTTGATGATAAAAGTAAATTTAAGGAAAATAGATGAGAAAAGTTTGTGACGAGAGGGGAAAGGTGACTTAAAGTGACTGAAGGATGAAGTGAGGTGACTGACGAGACAACATTCCTTTCCTGAAAAGGCTTCTTCTTTTTTATGGTAAAGATGAACAACTTTATTTTTTTTTTTTTATTATTATTATTCATTTGAAATATTAAACTTAAACTAATCATTGTTTTTTTTTTTTTACTCCCTGCCCTTCAAACATGGACTCCCTGATCGGAGCCGCTCAGAATTCAGACCTGGAGGAGATGCACCCCTCCCATCAGCCCGCCGGAGAAAGGCAGCCTGCTTCAAGCATCAATTCCCCCCCCCCCCCCCCCCACCCCCCAATGCACACACACCAACACAGCAACCAGATGGAAATGATGGGTTAAAATCTGGGGAAAGCAACACAAAAGGATTTTCATCTGCTCTGAACCCCTGACCCTAATAGCTCACCTGAGCTGCAACCTGCTTCACAATGTGTGTGTGTGCAAAAACCATGAGGACAGAGACACTGGGGAATTTTTTTTTGTGGGGAAACAAGGAGGAGGTGCACCAACATAAGGCTTTCCTTCTCTCTGGTGCTAAATTATTTTTTAATCATTGAATTATTTTTTTTGTCTGAGAAGTGGCTGACCTTTTTGACTGAGGTGGTGGAGCTCCAGGACTGCAACCGCCTGTTGGCAGAAATCAGTAAAGGGTAAAGTGATCGATTATATATTTTCTTTTCTTTCCTTTTATTTTATTTCATTTTCCATTTCCATAGACTTCCAACTATTCAAGAAAAGTTTGATAACTTTCTCTTATTAGATTCCTTTCTGCATCTTGCAATGAAGAAAATGCTTGCTGACTGACATGACTTTATCTATGGGAAAATGTCTAATGAGGGTGATAATGTACGGCCTGGTTGGCTTTCACTAAACCATGATTCTTTTAGTGTAATTTCTGATCAAATTAGAACCAACCTTAAGTATCTAAACCAAAAATTATCTTTTTAAAAGAAAAAAAATTCAGCAGCAACTGTCTTTTCCTATGTCGGCTTCAGGACTGGAAAACAAAACGTTTATTATCAGGCCTGTGGTTGTTTAAAAACAGGACAGGTCTCGTTTTGTTAATTTCCTGCTGTCACCATGTTCCATAATGTTATGGACGGACCTGGAGATGAAAACTTAGGCAAATCCAGAGAGAGAAAAGGGTCCAAACATGGTCTGACACAGTAGTTGTGAAATGCGCACAGGTTTTAGTCACAAACCAAATTCTCTATTTCCACAGCAGCCACTCGGAGAGATTAGCATCATCTCTTCATGATTTTGTGGTATCACTAACAGAGTCTATGGATGGAAGGCTTTTGAGCATCATGGTGAAGAAAGGTGGCCATTTTGGTCACTGATTTGCTTTTTGTTTTGTTTTTTTGTTTTTTTGAATGTCGCAAATGTTTATGTCTGAATTTTAAGTTGTTATATTGGTTTACCTGGTGAAAATAAGCAAGTGAGATAGGTATATTTTTGTTTTTTATTACGTTGCCTAATCATTCTGCACAGTAATATTTACCTGAAAACACAGACATCCTCATAACATGGCCAAATCTAAAAAAAAAACAAAAAAACATCAACTTCCAAAAATATAAAACTTTGATATTAAGGAGTCTTTTGGGTTGATTGAGAACACAATTGTGGCCCAATAATAAAAATAATCAGCACACAATAATTCTGCACACAGTGTAGATCTTGTGTTTTTAAGGCAAATGTTCAAAAATGGTAACTTGTTTTAAAAAGGGTTCAATTCACTTTAAAAAAAAAAATGCCTCTCATAGAAAATGCACTTCTTTAGTTTGTCCTCTAGAGGGCAGCAGCAGCTGTGAGCTGCAGAGGAAGGACAAACACAAAAGCGAAACCTTTAAAGAAGAGTTTCCCAGTGGATGTTGAAGCCATAGATATCCAAGCAGCAGGAGAGCTTGAGGCTTGAACAGGTAGCAGGAATGTAACCTCCCGGTTCTTCCACAGGGAAATGGACGAGATAAGGTCAGCATCTTTACTTTCACATTTCTGTCACCGCGGCGGCGGCTTATTGAATAAATATGGGGCTGAACCGTTGATTTTCCTATTTATTACCGTGTTATAACCGATTTTCCTCTTATTATTATTACGTTATGAGCGCTGACAGCTGTTTAACCGACATCAGCTCAGCAAAAATAGAGATAGAAAGGCTGTTTGTTAGAAACAATCTGGTGGAAAAACAAACCAGACTGCACTGTGAAGGAATGGGAATTACTATTTGAAATAAGCTTTAAAAACCATTAAAACATTTTCCTTAAATCTGTCTGGAAGCTTAGGTTGACTCATTCTTTAGAGGATTGAAATAATGGGGAAGTCCAGGCTGAGTTTAAACATGTGCTGTTTAGAAACTGTTTTTTTGCATGTTAAGACAAGGACCTGTTTCATGGATGATTCCTGCTCTCTATTTGCTGGGAAACATGGATGGTGAGTTGCAATTATTGAATATGGTAGCAGTTATTACTAAATAGCAACATTGTGTATCATTTCTCAATCAGAAGTGATCATTTCCTGGAAGGGTCTGGGCCCCTGATGGGAAATGGTTGCAAAATCTGTGTGTCACTACAGGGCAGAGAGAACGAGCCTAAAAGGATAATAAAAACAAGTCATAAATTGTCTAAAGAAACCACCTAAAGAGCTCATATCAACCACCAAACCTTAGATGACATTAGTTTTTATATCCTGATTTAATTCCTCACCTTAATCATATTATTAGGGTTGTAGTTGAACTGAAACATGGTTGCATGAAATGAATAAAGAACCTGTCCTGATAGAGCGGACGCCTCCAGGCTTTTTATTATGAGAGCAGATAGCAAAGGACATGTGGATTAGTGGCTGTTTTGTTTAATGATTCACTACAGTGAAAAAAAAGGTGCTTCTGTGCAAACTTTCATTTAAATGCTCGCCTCTCAGTCAAATACCATGCTCCTGTGATATGTGTTTATTACAGCTGTTATTGTGTGAGACTTCAACATTCCACTGGACAACCCTGAGGATTTCCATATTTAACTACCGTAGAGTCTAAACATTTCCAAAGTGTCTGCAACTGATGTTAGCCTGTCTGACCACTTCTCTGTTACTTTGGAAAGCATGATTTAAAATGAATTGGTTAGTCAAAGAGATATAATAAGAAAACTCATCTTTATGGATGATGCTGCTGAAACATTCAACCACTTTGTTTAAAAAATGCCTGACATCATTGATTCAAATTTCTCCAGTCAAAGTGAAGGTTGTTAAAGACTCAGTGAAGAAGTTAAAAAAGGGATTGTTGAAAAAAAGTCTGGTCTCCAGATTCACTGTAACATCTAGATAAACGTCATAGATACAATTAAAACAAAACAAAAATGCAAAAGAATATTATTCCTTGATCCTGAGCAAGACTATAAAGAATGCTTATGCTTTATTTAACATGGTTAAAAGGCTGACAAACCCTCCTGCTGTCAAGGTTGGGTGGAGGTTTGAAGAGGACCCAAATGCAGAGACTCAAGCTGAGGTGGTTTCATGCAAGATTTAATAAACCAAAAAGGGCAAAAGAAGCAAAAATCTAAAAACATAAGTCCACAAAATCCACAAAATACTGAAACCACTCACAACAAGGAGGCAAAGAAATGTCAACAAACAAGCAAAGAGTGACTGAACAAGAGGAGAATATATGGGAGAGAGAAACATAGACCGGGCTAATTAGCAGATTGGGAGCAGGTGTGAACAGAGGAGGCAAGAAGGGAGCAGGAGACTGACACAAGAGGGAAAAACACATCTAAGAACTCATATACATTCAAAAATAACTAGAACACAAAATGGAAATAAGACCAATGAAAACTCAGAGACAAAACTTGAACAGAACCAAAACCATGACACCTGTGGCTGTAGCATCAGATCTCTACTCTAGCAGGGCCTGCAGCAATTTTGCTAACTTCTTTATTAAAAAAATTAACCTAAAAGACCCTGCTGCAGCAGAACAGGCCCATTTCAATTGATGGAATTTAAAAAAGATTTCAACTCCTTTAGAGTACTTTTATTTAGGCTACGTTCACACTGCAGGCCTTGAGGCTCAATTTTGATTTTTTTGGCGAAATCCGATTTTTTTGCATTGCCGTTCACATTTCCAAATATATGCAACTTCTATGTTATCTCCTGTGTGAACTGAAGTCATACAAGGCAAGTGTCCTGCATGTGCAGTAGAGGACGCAATGACGTCACAGGCCAGCATGCTCTGTGTTTACGGAAGTAAACATGGATGGTAGTGCCGGAGCGCATCTAGCGATCTTTTACAACCATTAAAAACTCAATTTTTTTCAAGATCCTCAAACATAAATACTGCTCTCTGCATCATTGTCTGCCATGCTTTTTTTTTCTTATCACTTCTTCATAGCAAGACGCAGAATAGTGACCTTTGTCAGGTATTAATGGCGTTCAGGTCGGATAAATGCGACCTGGCCGTTAAGACAAAGGTCGCATTTGAAAAGATCAGATTCATATCGGAGCCAAGTGGCTTCTAATTTTCCATCTGTTTTGTTGTTGTGTCGTTATCAATTAGCCAGGGTGGAGTAGAAAATGTAAAGTAAAATTAAAAAGTCCTCACAAAAATGAATGCTCAAGTCAAGTACAGAAGGATTTCTAATTGCATGATTTAATGTTTAGTTTGAAATGGCATCTTTTCTTTTTCAGTGGCTCTCCTGGTCCTCCATAGAACACAGCATAGGTTGCAGAGCAGAGTTTGTTAGAGTTGAGCAGACAGGTTTTTAGTGGGGGGGTGCAGGTCTAAACTCTGCACGTCGGTCTCACTGCGCGCTCAGGTCAGTGGAACAAAACGCCATAGAAATCCAAACGTCCCCATCACCGTTCTGAACATGAGAAGGAAAGGAAACATGCCCACTCTGTCTGTGGCGCACAGAGTGGGGAGGAAAGTTTCCCAGTGATTCTGTTCCCAAGGTAAAGTGCATAACAGAGAAAGGTCTGTGGTAAATCAGTATTTTAGTATTTTTGTTATTAGTCAATTTATCATTTATTGAAGTGCCTTGAGTTATAGTATATATGAATAATATGTTTTTTATAGGGTTAGTACTAGGGCTGGGTAAAATTTAATCAATTCCTTTACATTTTTTTCAAAATCGATGTCTAGGGAATGAGATCGATTCCTTTTATAGTGACCCGGGTGATGTTCACATTCAAATAAGCAGGAAAGATGCACTCAAGATGACTTCAAGCCAGACAGCTGCAAATATACCCAATAGGTTGACTGAAGACATTAACAAATGGGGGCTGACCAGCAAACACCCTGTAGTTGATACAGACAATGCTGCACATATGGTTTGTGCAGGAAGATAAAGCAGCTCATGCATGTCTGCTGTGTCACATCTGCTTGCTCATGTGAGGCTTTTTCACTTTTCACAAACAAGGTTGCACTTATGACACAGTTATGTTCGCATCTCATGTTTAAAATGTCTGATTTACAAGTTTGCAGTTTGTGTTTAATGTGACAGGAAAAAATAATATTTTGAACACAATTGAACCACTTTCATTATTGTAAAAACAGATCGAATCGAAATTAATCGATTTAGAACTGTATGAATCAAAATCGAATCGATTCTGGACTTTGGCCAAAATACCCAGCCCTAGTTAGTACACATTGTAGCCAAGAATTTTACTATTTGACATAAATGTCTTTTGGTGGTTCAGTTTTCAGGTTTGTTTTCCGTTAAAATTCGCTCCTAAAGGCTGTTTTGTTTGTTTGTTTTCAATTTCACCTTATTTAGATTTTTGTATTGCTCTTTGTATTTTTATTTTTAGTCCATATTCACTTCTGCTAAATTGCAAAATGTAATAATGTTAAAGAAGAGCAAAAAAAGAAAATAATTTATGGAATATGACCTTGATCTGTTAGAAATATGATCTCTTAGTTGTTTTCTTGTAACTGAAGTTGCATAAATTCAATGATCAGATTTTTCTTATAGTGGGAATCGTTTCAGCTTCTGTTGGAGGGAAGGAGAGTTAGAAGTGATCGTCTCCATCGAGGAATTCTATCTAAAATCTTCCCAACGTGTCGATCTTTTCAGGCCTTTGTTGGACAACCAGCAGCACCAGAACTCAGATCTTCTGTCCCCCAACCTGAGGCCGAGACACCAGAATCTGATCCCTACACCATGTGGACCGGTGAGCAGATCTGCCCCTCACGCCGACACAAGGAGCAACAGATGGGCTTTGCTTTATTCAGACCAGACTCTCTGTCCGCTCCCTCCTGCAGATCAAGGCGTGGTCGGAGCTGTCCAACCTGGTGAAGATCTATTTCTGCTTCAGCATCGTGTCCCTGCTGGCGCTGCTCGGCCTCACCATCTCCAGCATATACAAGCAGCACAAGACCACGGACGTGGCTGACGAGGACAACTTCACGGTGTCCCTCATTCAGCTGGTTGGAATATGTGAGTTCTTCAATCAGCAGGGAGGGAGGCGCTCCCTGAGCCTGCCTTCCCGCTGAAAGCAGAAGCTCTCTTGTTGAGGTCATATGATAAAAGCTGTGGAGGATTACTAATGTCTTTGCTCTGATAAAAAAAACAACCTTTATATTTCCCACAAATATGGCAGCAAGGATTCCAACTGGTTTTTACACAATGGCTCATTTCTAAAAGTTTAAATACTTGTCTGTAAAGTCGAATCTATAGTCAAATTCAGACAAATTCCGACTCCAAAACTAAAATAAAACAACTTCCTTTTCTTGTTTCACTTCTAGGCTCCCATCCTCCTCCTCATAGGTTACAGCTGACTCAATTTCCCATCAATACTTTCCCCTAAAGTGGCCTACGTGACGCTGATTCGTTACACATTCATTGTAGTTTTCTTTTTTCTTTTTCTTTTTTTTTTTATTTTTTACACAGAATGAAAGTGTGGCTTGAAATGTGTTTTTTTTGTTTGTTTTTTTGCTCCATTTAATCTAATAGTCCAAAATAAGAAGTGAACGTCGTGATTAAATGCATGTAGTCTAACCTCAGGATTAGATCAGGGGTAACCAATTAAAATAAAAAATTATGAAAATCTGTTACTTTAAACAGATTTTAACACTGAAATAAAATGAGGTGTTTATGCATCCATGTTATACATTGAATTGAAAATAAAAAATATATATATATATATATATATATAAAAAAAAACATCAGTTGGGTCAGGATCAGGATCGCGGTCTTCTAATCCGTGACCGCTGCACTAGATGTTGAAGGAACAAACAACATCAAAGAAGAACAAGGAGAGAATCAGAGCAGAAGTGAAGACGTCAGTGGGAACTCTGGAGGAGCTGCAGGGAGACACAGCTCAGGTGTTAGAAGCTAAAGGAAGATTATTAGAGATCAAGGTTTGAGTTTGTCAGCATCTGTGAAGGAGAATCCATAGAAGAAAGGGGCTGTTTGGATCGGACTGAAACAGAACCCTCTGACCAACGGGAGAAAAATGGTTTTTATTTAAGGAAAACTAACAGAAAACGATGGAAGATGACGGTGGCAATATTATGCTGCAGTATGGATAAGGGCAGGTTAAAAACTTCATGCAAAGCCGGCAGACATCAGCTAAACAAGCAGCTACCCATTAAGTAGAATCTAAGGTTGTAGTTTGCATAAAGTGTTGAAACCATTTACCTTTTCTTCTTTTGTGCTTCTTAGTCCATCTTATAAAATGGCAATAAAATACTCTGAAGCTTGTGAAGGAAATATAAAAAAGATCTATATATAGTAAGAATAATGTGCAGCCTTACAGGGGCAGCATCACAGGAAGCTACTGCAAACAGAAAGACTGTCTTCAGCTGCTTTCACCTGAATGGATGGTTTAAACGTCCGTCTCCCTGCAGGTTTTTGCATCTACTACATCACCCGTGGCGTGCTGCAGGAGAACAGACAGGAGCTGATCGCCTTCGTTCTCAGCGTGCTGGTGGTCTTCATCCGCTCGGTGATCAACTACGCCGTGGTGGGCTCCAAGGGCAAGCAGGAGGTGCTGGTGAGTCACTGAACCTTCAAAAAAACCATCTCGTTTTAGGAAAAGTTTCCACCCGGTACTGACCCAGACTGAGAAAATCAGTGATTTACCAAAACTAAAGTAAAAAAAAATCTCTCTATTATCTCTGAGCCTCTAATATTCTCATGACAAGGAAACACTAGAAATGTTCTGTTTAAAAGGGAAATTTTGGGAAAAATTGATCTTATTAAAAACAAAATCCACTTTTCCACATTTATTTATGGAGAGAAGTGAAACATTAGCCCCTCCCCCAGGTCAGATAATCAGTAAATAGCTCCTTGGTTCATTTTCACTTCCAGCCTGATTACTATTGGACCCTGGTGAACTATTGCACCATGAGTCCTGCACGATTTTTACGCCTTTTTAGTTGATTTTTACCCCTATTTTTCTGTCTATTTTTTTCTAACGTACACACAATGAGGGGAAGCATGTGAGAAAAGTGAAAGACAAAATAAAAGGCATCAGATCTCAGGAATCAAATAATCTGATGATCACTGTTACAGAGTTTAAAACTTTGTAGGGAAAAAAGCTGTTGGTAACAAAAAGATTCAAGATCTCAATCAAGATTAACTCCTTTAGTGAGTTATTTCAGGGTTTCTTTTTGTTTCAACAACAATAATATTGGTCTAACATAGTCAGAGGGTGTGACACCTGAACTAAGTACAAAAACTTAAGAGTCAAAAACTTTAGAAAAACTACAGAACTGTAAAGATTTGAGAAAATCCTGACTTATTTGAAGGAAATAACACAAAAATGTATCGACATTCATGCTAGTTTGATTGTTTTCATGTAAAAAAGGCTCATTAGCTCCACTGGTAGCAGTAGAGAGTCTGCTGCCTTAGAAGGTCAGACATGAAAAACAACTTTCTAACAAAAGCTCTTCGTCAGACAATCTCAATGCAGAGAGAAGCATCACTTCACACCCCGAGAGCAAGTTTATAGTTTTTAACATAAAACTACAGACTACTGGTCAGAAATAATGGCTGTAGAAGGTAACAAAACAAGTGTGTTGTTGCTGACCACTAGGGGGCTCCATTCACTCAATTTCTGCTCTTTCTGATGGAGAAGAAAGAAAGTAAACATTTAAACAATTTTACCCACCATGGAAGCGGCCATTTGTGAAATACACCGAAAATGTTGCATCTTTACTTTCGTCTTTACTGTTTATTTCATTAGTGATGTTTTTTAAAATGATACTGATGTGAAAAAACAAACAATTTATCTGTTGGCAAAGATTACAGAAAATAACACTAAATAGGACCAGATATTAAAACCGTTTTAACAGTTTGAATTACCTGGATTAAAATAAATACAATAATAATGTTATTTTATTCAAAGCTGAGGAGCTCTTTGGTAAGAAAAAGCAAAGTTTGGTTATTTTAGGCTGAATTCTTAATGCCAAGTTTGTTCCTTTTTTTGTCATATTTCTCAGGCTTGATTAAATCCTTTCTACATTTATACCTTTAATAAAAGTCTGAAAGTAAATCTAGACATTGAAACAACATCTTCCATCTTAAATTAAAGCTCTACCCAATTCAGCCAGACCTTTTTAAGTACTTTAATGTCATTTAAAGCTCACTGAATTGCAGGATGTTGCAGGTATAATTGTACATAAAACCAACAGTCTGTTTCAGCTCGTAAAGGCAGCACTACTCTATGGATTTGTAGCTTTAAGAGCAAATGTCCTACAGTGACCCATCATGGGTCCGGAGTTAGAACAGCCCTCAGTGCTGCAGCTGGGTGTAAATATGTTAGAAACATACAACTTAAGAGGAAAGACATGGAATGGAAGCGTCTGCAGATGTTTGGTAGCGTAGTTCAGCAGAAGGAACGTGGTGATGTATTAAAGGAGACTTGAGGCTTTTCATTATGGCGGTAATCAAATCAGAGGAACCTGCTGCTTAGTTTTCCTGCCTGGTTCAGTCAGAAGCTTTTCACTGAAAAAGGAGAAAACTTAAATTTACTTTTAATGTTGTAGATCATAACCAAAATGCTAATCATTATTGACTCATTATGAGATGAACAGAATAAAGGAATTTTTCTGATAAGCAGCTTTTTGTCTAAAAAGTGTTTTATGGTCAGAATCGCTGGAAATCTGTCAGATCTGCGACGCTCCTTCCTCCCTGAAGAGGAGCTGGACTGAATTGAAAGTATATTTTAATGGAAACATTAACAGCGTTCTGTCTTGGAGCATTGAACAGCTGCTAGTCCCCTTTCCTCCACTTGGTGTCGCTGTTCCTCCAGGTGGTGCTAAAGCTAAGCTACATTTGAGCTCCTTTAAAGCCTCAGGAGGATCTTTTAGTCTGGACCTGCTGCAGATGAAGCCGATTCTTGGACTTGATCTTTTTATCTTTTTTTTTTTTTTTTTTTGACGAGATGATCTGATGGATCAGACTTGTGTAGAAAGATCGTATGATTGTAGATAAACTCACCTAAGAAAAACAGAATATTTGTAAAAAAAAAAAAAAAAATCAGTCCACAGCTGCAGCCCGCCAACATTGCAAGTCCACGTCTGAAAAAGTAAACAACTCCTTGATAAAGTTGGTCACAAAATGTATTGTTTTAGTTACTGGTTGAAGGAGAAAAAGGTGGACTTCGAGGAATCTAAAGTGTGTTTTAATTGCACTAATTTATTTGTATAAGTTAGTGCTGCAGAGGACCAGAGGCGATCAATTGTGTAGAAACATTGTATGATTGTAGATAAACTCACCTAAGAAAAACCAAATATTTGTAAAAAAAAAAAAAAAGAAATATCTTGTTTTCTTGTTAGATAATTAATGATCATTTTGTTGCATTTGTTCTCACACTCTTCATCTCTGTAACAGAGGGAGGTTGATTGACATGTGGCTCCTCCCATCCTAAATACCCTGCAGTCGTTCCTTTGTGTCTCCTTTGCAGAAAATTCCCCCTTAGCATGATATGTCCACCTCTGTGCTTCAGGGTTTCTTCCTCAAAACTTCAAAACCAAAGTAAAACTTTAAAACTGTTTTACTGACCAGCTGGACATTAGCTGCTTTATTAATGGGCCTCACAGGATTTTAATCCATGATGTCATTGTGTGTTACCAACTGCAACCTTTGGGCCCTCTTCAGATCATTAATCAGGTCCTCTTGTGTAGTTCTGAGTGGCTGCTGCTGCCCTTTCCCTTCTCACCTGTCATCCTGTAGTTTTTTCACCTTTTATTGCCCTTAGAGACTTTAAGAAGCAATCACCGCTCTCCGTTTAGTCCTAGAGAGCTGCAGGTAACAATGTTCGGCATTTCTGGCTCTGCTGGTTTGCTTATCTTAAAGGAATATTTTTGTTAAAGGTAGGTCAGGTAGATGTGTGGTCATTAATCAGTTACAGTAGACAGCTATCCTGGATGACCTCGGTTTGGAGAGTCAGAGGATGAAGTCGGCGGCCTTTAATAGTCAGATAGCTCTTGCATTGTGTGCTTAGAAAAATAAAAGAAGAACTCCGCACTCTGACTGCTGCTTAGCGCTTAGCTGGACAGCTGCAGACAAGATACCGACTTCTCAAAGCCCCGCCACAGAACCAGGCTTCAACAGGCAAATTTTCCTCTTTTAAAACATACATGTTAGCCAAGAGTGAAGCATAATCACTGCTGCAGAGGATCAGAGGCCAGATCAGGGGGGGAAGCTGACCTCAAAAGTGGCAGGGAGAGAGGCATCCATAGGAACTCTGGAGGAGCTGCAGAGATCTGCAGCTCAGGATGGAGAAGGGGGGTCGGCTTGTTGCATAGAAGCACAAAATATTATATATAACTTTGGAGAAAAAAAAGGGCAACTTGAGCAGAAAACATTTCTGCTGCATGTTGCAGAAAACCGCCCTCAGGCTCTGAACCATGATGGATTTTCTTCATCAGGGATGAAGCTAGGATGGAAGGAGAGGAGCGCCTCCATATTAGAACGGCCTAGTCCAAGTCAGAGAAGAAATCCCCACAGTGTTTTTTATTTGTGTGTTTGTGCTGCAGGTTCGCTTCGTGTGCATCGTCAGCCTGGGCATCATTCACATGCTCTGCACCATGATGCTCATCCTCAGGCCCAACATGATGGCGTTCCGTGTGGGCGGGGCCCTGGAGAGCCTCCAGGAGCAGTACTTTCTCCTCAACCTGTGTTTCTCCATGGTGACCTTTGACCTGCAGGCTCAGGTAAGCATGCATGATAAACCGTCTCCGCAGTGCGATCAGCGGCGAGATTTTGTTCTCCCAGCCTCGTTTTGTTTATCAGCGCTGCTCTCAGACGTCACTAAGACGTCAGAAGAAGCGCCTCCCTGCAGATTGATTGTAGGCAGCCTGGCTGGTCATGCATGTGAGCCTCAGGATGCCCAGATACGGCTTGTGGACGGCCATGTATGACATGCTGCATTTCTGCAGCGTGAGAGAGGGCAGAGCGCTCAAAGCCGAGGATGACAAAGATCAGAAATGTTGCTGCTCTGGTTCTGTGACATGGTTCAGAGATGAGCCCATGCAGCTGCTTCCCTGCACACATGTATCCCAGCCTGTCTCGCCTTGTGACCTGAACGCTCACGTTGCTGGATTCTGTTTGAAATAACTGTGTGCCGGTGTCAGTAACGGAGCGTCTGTGTGATGTTTTCAGCTGTGTCTGTGCATCCTGATCACAACATCGGACTCTGCCATGTCCACCATCAACACCATCATCCTGGGAGTCGGGGTGTTCTGGGCCTTGGTCACCGCCACTTTCGGAGCCATAGCGGTGAGCGATGAGTTGTCTTTCTAGCAGGCAGCGATGTGCTGGAAGCAACACCTGGGGGGGAAACCCGACGACTCTGTTTACACCTCAGGTTCAGAACAGTTCTCATACTCGCTGACCTTTTCCAGATCTTCTCACGCAAAGCTTCATCTGACAGACCGACACAAAGAAGAGCAAAATTAGTTGGAGGGAAAATGATACTTTTCCATTTGTTTTACAAACAGAAAGATCTGAAAAGTGTGGCATTGGGTGGGTCTGGAAAGAGCAACTCTAACTCTGGAGGATCTGCAGAGACAAACAGCTCAGGTGGTGGGAAGCACAGCCTGCTAAAAGTTCCCATTTAAGCAAAAAAGAACAAATCTAAAAATAAATCAAGCAAAAAAGGTCCTTCTGACCCTGATTTGAGATTGAAATACTGAGCTAGAGCAGATTATTCCTCTTAAAATACTCACAAATAAGTGCAAAGTGCAGGAAAACAATTGCACTTAAGACTTTGTAAAATCACAATCTGCATTCTCAAAACAAGAGAAAGTGTGGTTACACTGCAAAAACGATCTAGAAATCAGTAAAAATCTCTTAAATTAAGTGTATTTACCCTTAATTTGAGCAGGTTAATAAGAGAGTTTGCCAGTGGAAGGAGTATTTTTACTCTTAAATAAAATAATTAGATAATATTCATTTGAAATAAAACAATTCAATAGTTTTTCCCTATTGTAAATGTAAATTGTTTTGTTCCATTGGCAAATTGTCTCACTTACCTCCCCAATTCAAGAAAATGCACTTATTTTAAGGACAATTTACTTATCTACTTACTACTTACACTTATTTATCCCACCCACTAACCACCTACACCCCCTTCACAGAGAACATGGTGGTGGTAGCATCATGATGTGGGAATGGGTTTTCTAAGCCGTGGGATCGAAAGCTGCAGAAATTATTTGTTAAAATAAGTTGATTATCCTTTGATTTGGGCAGATATAGAATAAGACAATAAACAGATATAATAAGAAAATAAAACAACTCAACTATTGTATTTTGAGTGCATAATATCTAATTCCCTTTTTTAATGGTGAAAATACTTTTTTGGCAATTCATCTGCTCAAATTAAGGTGCACAACCACCCATCTTAAGAGATATATACCTATTTTTGGATCAGTTATAATGAAGCCGCTTAGAGATGGGAAAATGTTTGAGCTAATTGTTGCTCAACCTGTCAGAGGCTGCAAAGAGACATTAGCCTGGGCGGTGGATCTCCCTCCAGCAGGAAAACAACCCTAAAAAGCTGCTATGAAGGAAGGGTCCTCTGTCCTGCATGTTTTGGGTGTTTCACAACATGCCTGGAATAAATGAACAGGTGTCCAACAGGTTTGTGCAGCACTGGAGGACATGCTGAGGAAGTCATGCAATCATTACATTCTGCTCTAATGGAGCAGGACTGATCTCACTCATGCTAGAAAGTGTTGACACAGCAGGGTTAAATAAAAATGCACACCGCATTTTACAGATGTAATTTTTACCTTTTTTTATAACTTTTTTTTGCCTTGCGCTGTTTTAATATTTGCTCTGTCTGTAGAATTCCCATGAAATAGGTCATATTTTGATTTAAACATGATAAAATGTGACAGATTCAAGGAATGTGAATACTAAACTATTGGTCACACACTGCAAAAAATTGACCTAAAAAATAAGTAAAATATTCTTAATTTAGTTGTCTCTCTCTTAATTTGAGCAGGTAAATAAGATCATCCACCTTATTAAAGAGTATTTTTTGCCCTTAAATAAGATAATTAGATATTCCACCAGCATATTGTCTCACTTTCCTGCTCAAAACAAGAAAATTATTCTTATTTCATGAAAAAACTGACTTACTGAGATTTCATTTCATTTGCAGTGCAGACGCCTTGAACATCATCTCAAAATAATAAATAATAATTTTAAAAAAGTCAGGAAATCTTGATCAAGTTAAGATTTTGCAGATAATGTTTTTTACGGGTTCAACTGTAGTTCAGAGGCAGTCTGAAAGAGCAGCTGTAGGATTCACCTCATCGTACTTCGGCCTGCGTGCACATTCCGTACCATCAAGACCAGCAGATTATATGTGACGGATGTAAAAACAACTCTTCCTTCAACTTTTTCAGGTATTAAAGGAATCCAAGGTTCTGGTTTGGGTCTTCATGGGGCTGAACCTTCCTCAAGTGGCCTTCTTCGTTTACCTGATGTACTCGGTAGGTAGATATAAACTCCCAAAGCTCCGTCTGCGTTAAAGCATGGCTTCCTCCCTGGTCCTAATTTATTTTGAGGTCTTCCTTTGATACATTTTTTTTTGCAGCACCTGTTGGTAATGAAAAAAAAAACACAGGTCCTGCTTGTGGAGCTCTTCAAAAAGGACGAGACAATGCAGCATCTGCTTGTTTAATGGGAAGGCTTTCCTCTTTGAAAATGGGGCCGTTTAGAGTGAAGGATGCTGAACAAGCTGCTCCCCATCAGAGCTGCAGGCCCTCACAACCACATATGGCATTGAAACAAAGAGTTTACGCAAAACATAGAATCTTTTGTCTTCCAGCTGCAGTTTTTCATTTCTACTCTTATCTATTATTATCAATAGATTGATGAGTTTCAAACAGACCTCAAGTCCTGAAGGAAAAAAGGAAAACTGTTTGTTTTACCTGCAGGTGATAGAGAAATGGTTCAAGGACCAGACGTACACCCTGGAGGCAGCCGCCGTCACCGGAGCTTTAATTTCACTGCTGATCAAAGGCGTTTTATTCTGGGGCCTCATCAAACTGGTGCAAAGCTTCGGACAGGGACTCAGAGAGAGAAGTGAGTTTCAAGCCAAAGCATTTTTTGATTAAGCTTTAAACAAACTGCTGCATCATTATTTATTTATCGATGCCATGCTCTTCTTCTTTTCTAAGTGTTTGCATCCAGTTAGAGCGTCTCATCGGCTGGCTGCACATCGCCATCTTCTCTGCAGCTTCTGCAGAGCTCCAGTTTTTATCCAGCATTAACTCTACCAAAGCATTGACCAAGCCTTTTATTTACACATTTCTAAACTCTAATGAGCTGTTTGTTCACATTTAGATACATCTGTTAACAGAAATTTTTTTTTTTTACTAAAAACCAAACCTAATATTAAAATCAGTTTTTAATTATTCTAAGTTATTGAATCCAAATATTGTTTTAAGCTCAAAAGCAATATTTTAATTCAATTGTAATTTGGTAACAAATATGCCTGAAAGCAGAAGCAGCCTCCGCTCGATGCTGCAGCCATGACACTGAGCTGATCTGCTCCTCCAAGAGCAGAGATTCATTTGCACCTCTGAGGTAAAAAAAAACACTGTAATCTACAAACTGGATGTTAGTATATTTTTTGTAAAGTGAAAAAAAAAACTTTCTCCACTGGTGATTTATAATGTTTAATGTGCTATTTTTTTGCTTGCTCACAGATTTCTTAACATTTCTCGGCACCTTAATGCACTCAGTGTTTTTTTATATTCTGGATTCTTAATAAACGTAAGAGAAAAAAAAACATGCTTGTGTTTTCATTTGTTTATAAAAGCTGTTTATTTGCTGCTTTAGTTCTACGGCTAACCTTTCAGGAAGGGTTCTGCAGAAATTTGTTGTCAAACTTGAGAAAACCACACAGAGAAAACCGACCAAGATGCAAAGTCCGAATGTTTAATCCTCTTGCCTTTAATCTGGCAGTTAAATTCTGAGGAATTTAGTTGAAAAATAACTTGGATTAAGTTATTTCTTTATAGATATTTGCAATTTAATTGTTTTGGCCAAAGTGCTTTATCTGAATTCAGCTAAACTTTAGAATATCAGAAGGCTAATAAAGTAATGATATGATGGGGAGAACGAGCTGTTGGACTCAAGCAGCAACTCTCATGGAAGCACCTGACTTGGCAGCTCATTGAAAATAAGCTTCACATTTCTTATGAAGCTGGTTCATAGAGCGCTGCGTTTAAAGATTAATGGAAAGTTGAGTGGAAGAAAAAAAAGTGTCTGTTTTGCTTTAGCAGTTTAGTTATTTAGGGTCCCGCGCTTTATTCTGGTTTTGGTTCTGCAATGACTTAAATCAAGTGCCAGGTCAGCACAGCGTCCACCAGAGAAAATCAGGCTTCCTCGTACTTCCTGAGTCATTCAATAGGAAACAGAATGACACCAGAACCAACCATGAATTCGAAGACAAAACTAGCCTGGGCTTCCTGAACACCTCAGCAAAACCACAGGCTGATTTCCTCTACACCACTCTGCAAAAATGCAGTAATTCATGTAAGAGAAGATCCAACCTGTGATTGGATGCACATACCAGACTGTACATGTGCATATTTAAAGCGCAGGTCCCCATTTCTGTAAAAAAAAAAAAAAAAAAAAAAAACTTTTTTTGCTGAATTTTCTAAGAAATTAAATGCTGCTCAAAATGAATAAAGCAGAGATAAACGCTTAAATAAAACCTGGTCCTGCTGGAGGTTCCTTCCCATTAAAGGGGGAGTGTGTCTCTCCACTGTCGCTGCATACATGCTGAGTATGAGGAATTTCTTCTCTGTATGCTTATCTAGGTGGGGTGAACTCTTTTAACTCTTTGACTGAAGAGTCAAAGAGTTAAAAACCAAAACAAAGTAAAACTTCAAAACTGTTTTACTTTGGTTTTGAAGAAGAAACCTTGAAGCACAGAGGTGGACATATCATGCTAAGGGGGGATTTTCTGCAAAGGAGACACAAAGGAACGACTGCAGGGTATTTAGGATGGGAGGAGCCACGTGTCAAACAACTTCCCTCTGTTACAGAGATGAAGAGTGTGAGAACAAATGCAACAAAATGATAATTTATTATCTAACAAGAAAACAAGAGCTTCTGAAATTCTGTACAAATATTCTGTCTTTCTTAGGTGAGTTTATCTACAATCATACAATCTTTCTACACAATTGATCTCAATGTTCGTGTCATGATTAATGTTATACAAATAAATTAGTGCAATTAAAACACACTTTAGATTCCCCTTTTTATCCTTCAACCAGTAACTAAAACAATACATTTTGTGACCAACTTTATCAAGGAGTTTTTTACTTTTTCAGATGTGAAGTTGCAATGTTGGCGGGCTGCAGCTGTGGATGCCAACATTCCTTCCTGACTGCCAGGGGCAGTAAGCAAAGTCACCTACATAACGTAACTCAGCCGAACTTCGGTCGGTCTCCTCTTACTGAGAACTTCTGAGTTACAGCTGTGACTGGCAGTCATCCACACAACCAAGGCTTTTAAGTTTGAATAGTGGACCAACACTTGTGATGCTGCTTGTGCATCAGATTAACGCGTTTCTAAGAAACAATGAACACAATTAATGCGTTAAAGTTCCAACCTGAGCAACAATTGTTACATAAAACCTGTATTAAACTCATCAGGTTTTTTAACCTTATTGTTAATAAAATCTAGATCTTGATGATCATAACATTTTAGGATAAAAAACTTTTTACTACCATTAATTAGACTTTAATGTTCTATATTTATTATTTTTTACAGCTGCTTGTATCAGAAAAAAAACATATGTAAGTGTTTTTGTGTTAAATAACTTCATTGTTATCAGTTTTGCTAAATCCATATAGTCATTAGTAGATTAGGTATTGATGCAATGTTTGTTATAAATCACTCTAAAACTGATGCATATCCGCAATTATTGTTGAACTGTTGCTAAACTCTGGTTTTTGTTGTCAGTTGGAAGATGCAGGTTCCAGCAATCTTGGGCATCTTCTTATGACAAAAACTAGAAATATTAAATACAGGGTTTATACATGAATGAGTAACTGTTATTTAATGCATTTTAATGCTCTTAAAAATAATCTTAATGCCATCAACAAGTACCCATGACTTATATATATAATATATATATATATTATATATATATATATACATACAAGGCAAAATCCTTTGTCATCTTCACCATGGACAGGCTGCAGCCATGTCTGGAGTTCCTCGTTTTCCCGCCACTTTGGTTCAAATTTGCATTTTCCCCATTCTCTAGCCCAGCGGTCACCAACCGCTGAGGGCTAATTCAGGGGCTCTGAGTCACAGGAAGGGCTACCAATACTGACCTATGAATGACAAGGGTCAATGTTCACCTAAACTTCATATATTATATACATATCTTTATCGTTTCTTTAAATTTATAATTTTCTTTTAGACATTTTCTTTTTGAAATCTCTATAAATGCTTAAATGCCATATATGATTAAATGATGAAATGTTCTATAACCCAATTAAAAAAAGAAGAGCAACAGAATACAGTGAAATTTCAAACATAGCTCACTGTTGAGTTGTTCTATTTTCAGAAGACTCTAAGGGCACCCCTTGTGGTCCTTGAGAGCCCCTTGGTGCCCGCGGGCACCATGTTGGTGACCCCTGCTCTAGCCTTTTCTCCACCTCAAGCTTCTTTTCCAAAGCACTTTAATGCCACGATTATCAAATTTAATGAATTTTAATGCCAATTTAGGCCTTAATTAAAAAATTATTATAATTTAATGACTTTTAATGATTTTTAATGAGCCGCAGAAACCCTGAAATAACAACAAAGACCTCCGTTCCTGCTTCAACTTTCTGTTTATTAAAGTGTTATGGCAAAAAAAAAAAAAATTAGCTTCTTGGACACATTTATCAAACTTGCAGATACAAAATTTAGAATTACAGGCTCTCGGTTACAAAAGTGAAAAAAAGCACTTTGAGGAGAACAATTCAAACTGGTGACAAAACCATCAAGTATCTTTCCTATTAAAGTCAGACAAACCATTTTGTCCTGGAATGTTTTGTTGCTTTTTTTTTTTTTTACTGTTGAATGACGAGTTTTTCAAAAACTAGACTGTGGAAAAAATTAACAAGTGACAAACTCATAGCTGTATAAAAAGTAGCAAATAGATTTATTTTCAGTAATAATAATACAATGTAAACCTGTAAATAGACATTACTTTACAAAAAAACATCGTATTAGCGTTACATTTATATACAAGGTTAAAAGGAATGATTGTTTATTTTTAGGGGTGATCTGTTGAGTAGATTTAAAAGCACAATTTGGACGGCAGGTCCTGACAGACCTGTAATAAAGTAGGCCACCTTAAAGTAGACGTGAAGGCTGCGCTGCGGCTAATTTTGTAACAATTCCTCAGCGTTCACACACAGTAGGCCTTAAAAAAAAAAAAAAAGAAACAGGTTTTAAAATGTTTGGCAGATGTTTAAAGGAGAGCTTTTAAAACCAGACATTAAGAAGATGCTTCCTATGATTCAGTTAAGGTTTTAAAACATTCATTGTGTGTTCAGTTCTGCAGACAGGAAGGACAAACAAACGAGTAAAACAACAAATCACTTTATGCTGATGATAGCAGTGTTTAAGTCTAAGGCACATTCAGCTCAGTTGGACCCTGGATTCAGCTAAAGCAAACATTTTTGATCCCATTCGGTCTTCTTTAGTTAAACATCAACTGGAGTTTGTTTTTGTTTGTTTCTTTTTTCAGTTAAGTGTAGTTTGGTCTTAGTTCTTTGTTTCAGCAGAGAAGAGTCTCCCTGGATGTGGGGAAACAACGCCAACGACAGCATTATGACACCCGTCTTCCTCTTTTGACCTTTTTGTCCTTTTGGGTTTCCTCACCAACCCTCATGTTGCTTTCGTCTTTTTGATTGAAAAAAGTCCCGGAAACACGACGTTGGGCGAACGGCGCGGGCCTCAAAATTCCTCGTCCTCCGAACTGAGGTAGTTCTGCTTCTTCCTCACGTTCCAGTGCAAACATGTGGCCAGGCTCTCGAACCAGTCGTTCACAGGGTCCCGGAAGCAGATGGAGGGAACGGGGAAGCAGGAAGTGGTGATGGTGATACTGGAAGAAGAATAAAGAACAATTAGGAGGTTTGTCCAGCTGAACCCAGAACAAGGAAACAAAGAGTTCAGGTATTTACAGTAAGAGAAACAAAGCAGTGAAGCAAAGTGAGGTAGAATCCCCCAT